CTTGAAGTGTATGAATGAATTACTCCAAAATGAATGCTCCTGAGCTAAATTTCAACTGTCCCAGATATGGGATATACGAATATATATGAATACTTATGCAATGGAATCATTTTAGTTTTTTATTTTTAATAAATTTGCAAAGATGTTAAAAACGTTTTTTTGCTTGAAAATTATGGTGTATGGAGTGTAGATTGTTGTGGAAAAAAACTAATTAAAAGCAGTTTAACATAAGGCAGCAACAAAACAAAATGTGAAAAAAAATGAAAGGGTATGAATACATTCGCATGGCACTGTATACAGGTGCATCTCAATAAATTAGAATGTTGTGGAAAAGTTCATTTATTTTGTGAGCCAAAATCATCACAATTAAAAGAACCAAAGACTTAAACTACCTCAGTCTGTGTGCATTGAATTTATTTAATACACGAGTTTCACAATTTGAGTTGAATTACTGAAATAAATGAACTTTTCCACGACATTCTAATTTATTGAGATGCACCTGTATATAAAACAAAAAGTACCGATAAGAATACCATTAAAGTACCGAATCGATAAGCAGTATCGGTAAGAGCAGTAATACCATTAAAACCTTAACGATACCCATCCCTATTCACGACTGCAAATAAGCACAGCTGTACCCCGAGTGAGCCGAGGAAACAGCTTATCTGATAGCCATATGATCTTAAGACATATGCTTCCTTTAAGTTTCCTTGAGGTATAGTGCTTTAAGAACAGAAAACACAAAGTGCAGTAAGAAACTTTGCTAAGCACACCATTATCTTTGTGTCTCTCTGGAACATCTTTGTTGACACACGTTCTTGTTATTAGACTGAGGAGCCAACTTTCATGTGGATATAATTGTTTTTCTCAACTATCATGATGCAAGACAAAATAAACACGATAAACATAGGCCAACTCGAGTGCATGTACATTCTGTACTGTAATACACTGCATGGTCTGCTTTATTTTTCGTGAATGCTTTTGTTCTTATATATATATATATATATCTTTTTTTTTTCCCTCACACGTTTTCAACAAAGAAAACCTTGAGATTTAACAATGTTTTTGTAGAACGTTGTGTATAAAGCTTGTTCGGAAATGGTGACAAAAACACAAAAACAATGTGTTTTATTATGAGCCCAAATATTTGATTACAGTATTTTTATAAAGTGCCCATCCCTACTACTGGTACTGCAAAAAGGCTAGTATCTTTACCTTTTTAAAATGTAGTACTGGTACTTTTGACAACACTACACAGAGTTCACTCACCAGACACACACTTTCTTTCCTGGCACCTGCAGTTCGTTCGGTCTTCTTTGAGTGATGTGATTCGTCTGTACTGTCACTGGGAGAATCAGGTCTCTGCTCACACAGCGAACTCTGAAATATGCATTCAGAATATATTTACTTACAGGACATCTTGTAGGCAAAAGTGACAGAAACCATTAATTTATCATTCCAAACAAAGTCAATTATTCAAACCAAGAAACACTGAATGAACGTCACATTTTACAAACTGGTTCACAAATTATCAGGTTTCAAGTATGATATTTCAAGCATTGAAAAACAAACAAATACACACACCTCTGGTTCAGGAGAAGATAATGGGCAGTGCTTTTTGGATGAGACAGGAAAAGATTGTCTGCCTGACTCCTGTTTCCACTTCCTGACACGTTTGGCTTTAGCAGGAGACTCGTCCCCTGAGAAACAAAGAAAATTTTAAAAACATAGAAACTGTAAAAATAAATAAATAAATAAAACAAAAAAGGACACAAAGAAGAACAGTATTTGGACTGGGCCTTTTCTGTAGTTTAAAATAGTTTGTGGATTTACTTGGGCCTTTTTTAGCTTGTTTCCTTTTGTCATCCCTGTCTGCCTTCCGCCGCCTCCCCCTGGGTTTACTGACAGTGGCCTCATTTGATGGTGCCTTCTGACAGAAAAGTAGGAATGAAAAACAATATTACTAATTTAATTTCAAAAATTATTAATCGACTGATTAAATTATTTTATTATAATTTAATTTAGCATTATTTATTTAAAACAATTCATGCTAAAATACTTCCACTCAGACTAATGCATGGCATTTTCACTTGTACCTTTTGGCCTTTCTGCTTTTTTACCACTTTTTCAAGCTTGGTTTTCTTTTTAGGCTGCAGCACCACATCATCCTTTGATTCTCGTAAACGTTTGTAGACTATTTTCTTTCCTGTATGAAGCAGTCAGAATGCATGCTTATTTGAAACCTTTTATAAAGTAGAATTTCATGTTTTAAACGTATACTTTTTCCATAAACAACTAAAATGTTGCTAATATCGAAACCACCCACACACCTTTAGATGCATCTTCCTCCTCCAAGACTTTTGGGCTTGGTGCTAATACCTTTATATCTGATAAAAGAAATACACAGGAAATTATTACAAGAGCAAAAATACATGAAACAACAACCCTGAATATTTTTGAGGGTTTTTATTTTAAAAGAAAGGCATAAAGAGAAGTGAGGATTGTTTAAATTATATAATGACTCTCTATAGATTGTTTAATCTTTATAGACACAAAAACAGCAATTATCACTGGTTAGGAAATTGTTTGCAATTTACAGTTTATAAATGTATTTTAAGTTACATGTCTCACCTGAAAGTCCAGGATTAGTGGACACTGTGCTTAAAGTGTCAGAGATACTGACACCAGCTTTTACTTTCCTCTTCTTTACTGAATTTGGTGCTGCAGGAAACTTCTGTCTGAGCTGTCTCGGTTTCTTTTGAGCTTTTGGCTGAAGGTCTAGATCAATACAGAGCAGGTCCTTCTTATATGCAAAGACAGAATGAAAAGAAAGTTATTACCACAAAATACAACAGAAAAACTGATTATTATCCAGTGAGACAACACACACAACACACCTTTTTCTGGTAAGCCCATTTCCCAGCCTTTGTCTTTATTTTACTCTGATGTTCAGATGTCTCTGATGCAGTGCAGGAAACCTAAAATGCCAAAAGTTTTGAAACATTACATCTCCAGCCTCAAATTGAAATCCTAATTCTACACTGAGATAAACAAGTCCAATTATATTAACTGCTACCTGAACAGTAGACCCAGGGACATCTTTTGCAGAGGAAGCTTCTGTCTTCTTCCACTTCAGTATTGTGCCGTGCCGATCCTTCTTCACTGACGTTTTAGGTGCTTTTTGGGGGAAGGTGTTTTTCCCTGATGAAGTGCTACTGTCTGTGGGGTGGGAGAAGAGGCCTGGGATGATGGTTGTTGTTGTGGAGTTGGGGCTGGAATGAGTGGAGTCGGGAGGAGTGAGGCTGACCAGCTCCTGAGACTCCCTCTGATCTGGGTCTTGCTGTGGTCCCTGATTGCGCTGTGCTTGAAGCTCTTGTAGCATGCGAGGGTTGAACTGGGCTTTCCCATTTTCATAAACAAAGCTGAATTTGGCCAGTCGCTCCTCTAATAGTAGACCCAAGGCTTCTGTTGCCTGTGACACACCTGTCTCCCACTGTTCCCGGAACTTACGAGGAATTGCCCGCTGTAGAGAGCACATCAAAGACATCTAAGACAAAGGAATTTCATGATAATACAACAAATGTAGAGTAACACATCCCCATTAGTGAAAAATACAGACAATAATTACTGTACCTTCCTTCCACTGATATCAATGGGCAGTTTGTTGCTGCGGCAAAGTGACTGGTACTGGTGTTTTCCTGAGAAGGTGACCATGCTCTTCTCAAAAACATATCCTCTCTCTGGAGCATTTCCGAAGTACTGTACATGGTACAATAATCCTGTGCGGCTATTCACTGCCCCAAAAAAGAAAAAAGTTAAGTCTTTAAAAAAAAATTAAGAAGTACACTTCTTACAGGTGCTACATTTCTCATGCTGCCTTGTTAACAGCTAGAAGCCAGTCCTTCTCTCTGCTTGTTAGCTCAAGGTCACACTTGTGCAAACAATTTTCACAGGATCTGTGCTCTCCCTTATTAGTACTTTAAAACCATCCTTTTGGACCAAATGCAAGTGTTGTTTGCAACTCAAATGCAACTCTTCTCTCAACTTTTAGCTATCTGCATCACAGACACAGCTTTCTAATGACTCATCTCTTTTACTCATGGAGTCCCCCAGGGCTTTGTTTTCGGCCCTTCTTCTGCTCTTGTTTTCAATATTAAAATGCATTCTCTTCACATTATTACACCATTATGGTCACAGTTACCATTTGATGATGTATTTTTGAACAGAGTTCTTTCCTAATTCTGCCAAACCATTCAAAATCTGGGTGATGCTGTCAGCCCATCATTTCAGTCCATATTAACTACCTGGTCAAGGCGGCATTCTTTTATCCTGGTATAATTCTTTTAAACCTGTGAAAATGGCACATCTTTGCTTAATTCTTAGCCCAAAAGACACTGAATCTCTGGTACATGCTTTCATAATTTCACAGCTTGGTTACTGCAATTTTCTCATAATTGGCCTTCCCACCAAAACCATTGCAATCAATCCCCCCCAATCCTGTTTAAGCTCCACTGGCCACCCGTTTCATCTGTTATTTACTACAAAGCACTTCTTGTAATCTTTAAATCCCTTAATGACCTTGCTCCTTGAGTCTCTGAGCTACTTCAGCTGTTTCCTTGATGTCCCCTAGATTCTGACTTCCCACCATGGGTGGCAAATCATGCAGTGCCATGGCATCTAATCTCAAGGCCAAAGTATATTTCGGCTTTTACGCGTACACGAGGGTCCACGTACGCATAACTTCTGGAGAAAATACATCAGATGCTGGACAAAGATGAAGCTTTCTAGAGCGCATGTGTCGACCGCCTGTATTCGCACACGCTATCAAACGGAGTATACTTTGAAAGGTTACACATTCGACTATACGCGTACGCTAGTGTAAAAAACGAAGTATACTTTGGGCTTCACTCTCATGTAGCCTTTTAAACTTCAAAAACTCAGTTAAAAGCTTTATTTTTTCACAGTGTTATTTTCCACATCAGACTCATGTTTTTTAATCAATATCTATCAGTTTGCAGTTACAGTTCTAATAATGTTATTGATCGAGTTATTTGATATCCCATGCTTTTCCATGTCTAAATATAGATCACTATTCAAAGGTTCAGCCAGAGTTAAACAAGGATCATATTGACATGCCACAAACTGTCAGAAATTGAGTAAGACAGCAATGATGCAAATCTGTTGTCGTTGACGATATGGTGATGGAAAGTGCATTAAAAACTGTAAGTCAACTAATCTAGCACACCTTACCTTTTGACCTAAAGTGCATGTTAAACTCTGGGTCTGTAGTGATCATGCATGGCCACCAAGGGTATCCAGACACTTTGGTCCAGATAACATCTCCCACTGAGAACTGCAAATGGGGTTGTGTCTCTGTACAACACACTTCCACATCATCCACACCCTGTGCAACATCACTCAATTCGCAATCAGACACGGGCTCCTGCAAGACAGAAATGAAGAACTGTAAGAAAAAAAAAAAGAATCCTTTACACAAGTGGTAAACACATTTTCCTTATGACAAACAACTAATTTTGTATTAAACGCAGTTGAAGGAGGGTAAATGAGTGCCATTAAGCTATACCTGAATGGGGATGGAAGGTACACTAACAGGTATCTCGCCATCAGTCTGCTCATTAGATGCAGTGGGAACACATGGTTCAATGGTGAGGTCATTAGACCTTATGGTGGTGTGTAGTAGAGGGGATTTATCAGAACTCGAAGTAGGGGTTAAAATTGACTGTCTCCGATTTGGTGGACTTCTCTTCCTCACAAGACCCCTCTTCTTCTTTCGTCTTTCTCTCCTGGCAGTTGGAGAGGCCAGAAAACCTTCTGAAAGTCTCAAAGGTGCATCTGTCTCCTCTGTTCCCTCCCCTGCATAATCTGCTCCGAATCGATTTGTCTTACCACCTAGATTTACCACACATTTGGTTATTTTAAAAGTGAGTTCAGGAGAAACACTGGACTTCCTCGGAGGGCTGGCATGTTGAGGAACAGGCTCCACCACTTTGAGAAGAGGCTGTGCTGCTGTGGCAGCACAGAGCTTTGGAATTGTGTCTTGATCGCCATTTAACAAGCGGGAAGTCAGGTCCTTTAGTCGCTCATGGGTGTGGTTATGACCATGACTGCCAATCATCTGCAAAACGCTTTCTTGAGGTGTAGCTGCCAGCTGAGTAGCAGCTTTATCCATGAGCATAGTAGGGTCAGTGCTCCCATCACCCCGACCCTTACGTCCACCAGGTGAATCAGAGGGCTGTTTCATGGTGGTAGGACTCCTGGGCTCTGGCATTGCAGGCAATGATGTCCCTTTACTATCTGTCATTACTAACCAGGTGCCTGCAAAAAACAAAAAGCAATAGACAATTACAAAAACAAACATTTACATTCAGTCCTCACCTATATTACAAAAAAAGGCATATTAATAAAAAAATATGTACACACGAATACTGAAATAAATTATATTTACCATACAACTGTGTGATTGTTAATAATTAAAATATACAGTGTTTATATTAGGGGGCCCCTGGGTTATAAAACCTTTGCTTTAAAACTAAAAATATATAAAGAAAAAAGAAAAGTTATATTTTAATGCAAACACAACTACATTATGGGCCACACCTTAGAAGCCAAGGCCCACTTCTGTTCATGAATTATGCAAAAAAAAAAAACGGTAAAGGTTTACAAATATCGTCGCAAAACAAAAACATTCAACGTAAAAAGACTACCAGAACAAACATAACCGACGTTTACCGTAAATGCGTAGTAATTGTTCTAACCACTGCACCTGTGGCGACTGCTGCAAGCTGCAGGTCCTAAATAGCCACAAATAAACAGTGGTTACAGTTCGTGTCGGACACTGTGGTTATGTGAAAAAATTGTGGGTTATGCCGAGGATGGAGTTTGAGAACTGGAATGGTTTGGTCCCACAATAAAATGGCTTCCGTGGAGGATTCGCAGTGCCCGAGTGGGTGGCAAGCCGCTTTGATTCAGTTCAATGCACAAACCCCGACGCCACCTCCTCAAATGAATCCTGCAACAAAATCCAATAATACAAACCAAACCATTCGACACCAAATAAGCACTGCAAGCTATTAACGAAATAATAAATAAACGCAGCGCTTTTGACTTGTAACATGCATGTAATCATATCTTAAAAGCGCATACAAACAAAACCTAACCAAAGCTTTATGTAAAAGAGTGACTGCTCAAATGCAAATGTCCGTTTGGTCCTTAACAAGAGGCAGTTATCGAGCTATTGTTATTCAGGATGAGCGGTCGGGATGCCTCATTAACATCAATGAAGGAAGATTACGGACGAGTCAGTGATGGACTCGTTTAACCGTCCTAATAGCCCACAGCAAACTGAAAGAAAATAACTCACTTTAATACAAACTTTTACACCAAAAAATGAAACTAAAACCTTCCGTAGGAATTGTGATCTCGGTTGAAATGCTGCAATACTTCAGAGACCAGACGTATGTAAGGAAATGTAACAGTTACATACACAGTGGAGGAAAAGATATCAAACCATAGGTTCGTGAAAGTAACAGTATAGAGCTAATATGACGTTAGCAAAGAAATGACTCGCCAAATCACAAAAAACACTTGTGCGGACCAAACATTCCTACGGTATTAAATATGTAAGTTAACCTCTGAGGAGGTGTCTGGGGCTGTGATACATACTATAACCACATGGCACATTTTATTAACTCTGGAATCATTTATTCTTTAATCTGAAGCTGACAAACATCGCGAACTACAGCTTAGCCAGCTAGCAGGTGAGGTGCAGCTGCTTCAGTGAGTGACATACTACAAAACGACTCGTTTATCCGTTAAAGAAAACCTCTAATACCCCACCCCAGCGTGTAATAGACAGCAACCCCCCTAATTATGATGTGCCATGACTTATTCCTGTGGGAAAATAAACCTGTTTACTGTATCTCCATAACTCCCGACCCGTACTGAGAGGCTTGCGGGAAACTCTCTCATCCCAATCAGCGCCAAAAATACTCACATCCGATTGGCTGACACGCGACGGCACAATTCAACCGGCCTTTTCAAATATCACTGTCTTCGCGGCTGACTCTCCGTTGAACATCTTCACTTATCCTTGGCGCACTTCAAACTTCATCGCAGGTTCGTTGTTTAAGATGAAGCCATGAGATTCTGAGATCAGCTGTTTTTGTTTTTATTTCGAAAAATGGCAACGCGACACAGATCACTGCTCGAGGAATTGAGCGGAGGGCAATTCTCACCATGTGACGTCAGATGCAAGAGGGAGGGAATTCGTTATCTTGTTGCCAGTTGCACATAGAAAATGTGGCAAATGCTGGGTTTTACGTCATTGTATAAAAATAACGATCACGTTTTGGAATTTATTAGTTGCAATTTTTTTTGGTTGAATATAAACCAATACTGAAATGTGTACAGTTTTAAATATATTTGTAATTTTCAGTTAATATGCTCTGAGCGTGTAGTCGATTTGCACTCAAGCATGAGTGTCTGGCAACCCGAAAATAAGCGCGCCAGACAGTGTTGCCATGTCCGTTTGTTATAAACGTCGTTTGGTTTGTTGATTTATTACGGCGCTTATAGACACTGGCTGCGTTTTTGTTATTTCCAATTTATGTAAATGCACCGAAAAAAGATTTATTAATTGATTTAGATGGTAAGTTGTATGTTAAACTTTTAATTGATTTAAAACATATAATTATATAAGACAAATCCATTGCAGCAAATACTATGTTTTATGTATATTATGCTACAATAAATAGACCAAATGAAGCACGCAATTACCCCCTTGGAAGGAATGAAACTGAGTTCGCTTATTTTAGTGAGACAGTTCACGTATTTTGAGAATATTAGATGGCTAGCTTTTCTACGGAGATCTGGCAACATTGGCGCCAAGACCCGTATTGACCTCATTGGCCAGGGTTCACAAACCATTAAAATGTTTCAAACGCAGTTTATACCAATTTAATTTCCGTGTCTAGAAGAATGTTTAGCAATCGCTTTTGTTAAAAAAAAATCTATGTATTATTATTACATACTTAAAACAAGCGTCAATTGCTTGTGCACATCATTTAGGATGTGTGTCAAACTACATCATGTCTAACGTTAGCTTTTTTTCGGATATCTGAACGCTAATCAACATGCACTGTTGGTCAACTCATTTGGAGTTTTAAGAGTCTGCGTTGTCCAGACATTTGATTGGAGGTCGTGTGGCCGCTCGCAGTGCGGCAGCGCTTCATCGTTTTTTTCTCGGTCAGTCCAGTCACCTTCATACAAGACGCCCCCTGCTGGCTGAGTTCAACCAACAGGAAGACGGAAGCAAATACCGAACGGTTGCAAACTCATCGCTTGCCTTGAATCACCGAGGAAGGTACAAGGGCATGAGCCAAGAGCTTAGGACTGTGACTTCTGTGGATAGTTCATAAACCGTCAGTTTATTACCTCTTTACGAGCACTCAGCGTTACTGTGAATATTACATTAACGTTTGACGCCTTTTCATCCATATAACGTTAAACGGGAACAGAATGGCATCGATTTTGCTCACCAGGTCTCGGACTCCTTTGCTGAAAACATCTAGGTCATTAAAGCACGAATTCAGAAAAGGTAAAACTGTTCTTTGTTTATCACAGGAGATAGATTAGTATGTGGTTAAATTTATTGTTTTGAACATGATTTTAATGGTCAATATTGTAATTCCCTCTCTGCCTTTATGTATTGAAACGGGCAGCGAGCGGTATGAACTGTCAAAATGCGGCACATTGTGCTGATGTAGGCGTACAGTAACCAGTTTTATTTAAACAGCAAAGCCGACAAGGCCTTGCGACTTTAATATCACCTTGATTCGTTTACTGTGTTATTCAATCCGGACATTTTCAGACCTGTCAAGCACACTGCTGCAGATGTCTTATGAAAAGAGTCCCTCCTGACACTACATTGGTTTAAATCATAGAGTTCGCAACTTAGCTCTCAAACCTGGCCCGCAAGATTACATTATTGAACGACTGGTGAAATGAGAGGCTTAAGTGATTAGCTAACAAGCTAGCTGTATAGCCTCACAGATTGAATCAGTCATAATCACCGAGAACCATCCGATTTAAACGTCTTCCTGTGCTGAGGGATGCGTCCAGTGCACTGGCACAGACAATGGTGGCTTAACTTACTGTGTCAGGTTCACACGTGCTTGCGCGTTTGTGTCATCATGCTCTGTTACTGTAAGTCAGTTCTGAAAAATAACAGCGCTGTAACTGTTTTTGACCGCTGGTTGGTTTGTCAGCTCATTGTTATGTTCAACACGCGAGTCGTTTCCACGCTTTTGAAGAAACGTTTGCTTTTCGTTTAATTATGGAGTGCTTCTTTTAAGTTAGACGCTGAATTACAGGAATGAACAGCGGTTTGTTAGTTGCAGGTGTAGGCAGACGGACGCTCCTGTCTGAGAACGTCAATATGATTGACTGAAATCGAAAAAAAAAAATCGTTTAATGTTTGAAAATAGACACACGTGTCATTTTATGTAGTTATAGTCTACGTGTAATGCGGCTATATATCGTTTTGGAGCGTCATGTTTTGCTCAGGCGGCTGGAGAACCGAAGCTCGTAGCCTTGTGTGCACTGGAGGTTATCTGAGGACAGACTCGGCCGTCTGTCGCTGACTGCAGTGGCTGCTTCCTTATTATTGACCTGTCTTCTGTTTACACTAGTGCGTTTTCGTTTTAAAATGAAAACGATCCTGGTCTACACTTGCGTTTTCACTGCGTTTCAGAAACGTTCTCCGTGCACACTACACAACCGAAAACGCAGGTCACATGACCATTCATGCAGGTACAACAATGAGCATGACGTTGTTGTTTACACGGTCATCAAGGATACGCAGAGCGAATTTGGGAAGCCACGCCATCGTTTTCAAAAGTATCCGTTTTGGTCCGTTTACACTGAAACGCAACCCCGGAGTTTTCAAATGAAAACGGGGTCTGCAGCGTTTTCAAAATTCTCCGTTTTCGAGGGTCGAAAATGACAGAGTAGTGTAAACGACAGGCGTGATCTTAGCAAAAGTTATGCGTTTTAAAATGAAAACGCACTAGTGTAAACAGGGCCTAAAGCATAATTTGTACACCTTTTAATAACACCTGTCCATTGTAGATTGACATTAGTGACTTTTTGAAGTTAACCGTATTTGACATAGGCCTATACAAAACTGGTTTATGGCCCCGCCAATGGCTGCTGATATTTTGACTACTCGGATCATCAAAAGATTAATTCATTATTCATTTTGTTAAAAGAAAAAAAAAGAAAAAACTATTGTTCATTCATTCATGAACAAACCACATAATTTCTTGTGTTTCAGGGCAGTCCTGTGTTTCATGATCCATCATTATATGGACTGAGTTTTCATTGTTGTCTATTTTTATCCGGCATTTTTGTTTTAATTTCCCTTAGGCATGTCATATCTTGATATAACCAATATTAATATTTATAATAATTAAAAATTACAAATCAAAGCCTATCAAAGACGGTTTAATTCAACCTTGATACCTTCATACATTTAATTTATACTTAATTGAAAAACATTTCGGTCGTACTTTGTTCACAGTTTTCTTTAAATAAATAAAGAAAGAAAAATTACACAGCACAAGTAAATGGTAATAAAAACCACAAATCTCTGGACCTTGCAGCCTTAGCAAGCAGCTATGGCCTTATACCTTGTCTAAACGAAATAAAACATGCTCTTTTGCTTACTTACTCAACCACAGCGTTTCTCCCACAATCTCTAATTGATTTTGAAATATTCTTGAAGTGCTTCCTGAGAAACCCCAATAACTCCCATGTGTGGACTTTCTTTCTTGTAGCTAGTCTGCAGCGGTGTGGCCTGGCAAATGATTAACCGCAGCTCTGCTTGACAAGCCTATAAATTAGAGGTCAGATCTGAATATGCATTGTTAGGTAAACAAATGCTACCAAGAATAGCTTTCATAACATTCAGTCTTTGGATTGATTAATGTGGATTATCATTAAAAAAAAAGAAAAACATACCAATAAGCATGACAACACTGGCTATTAACTCTTTCCCCGACAGGGTTTTTTTTTTTAAGTTGCCAGCCACCGCCAACATTTGTAATCATTTTCACAAAGTTTAATGGCACCCAGAATATTTATTGTATGAATATCTGAACATGCAATATGTTAAAACAAAGAACAGAGCCTTTGCTTTAAAAAAAAAAAAATTTTTATTCTAGCTTCATACAATCTTTTTTTATCAACACTTGAATGTGGGTAAGTTTCATGAAAAAACTAGAGGTCGACCGATATGGGTTTTTCACTGGCCAGTGCCGATATTTAGAAATCAGGGCAGCCGATGTATGATGCCGATTTTCTTTTCTTTTTTTTCCATTCATCTCATAAAAGTGAGTTTGAGCAAATGATTATTGCAGGGTACGAGATAGTAATGGTAGTAGTAGCCCAATTTAGAGTAATAATACATGGCTCAAAACTTAAGCACCTTCTCAAAACCGTTCTGAAGGATGCTTTTTGTTTATGTTTGCTGACAGACACCAGTGTTTCCCCACAGACTGCGAATTAATTCTCTGCCAGCAGGAGGCGCTTTGGGAGCTGGAGATATAGCGGTTTCCCAGGTAAAGGCTGTAATCAAATAAGCGCTGCTCACAAACGCTATCAGGCATTACAGGAAAGACAAAATGAAAATGACACAGAAAAGTTTCTGAAGACAGTCGGTTCTTTTCAAAGATACATTCATATAAAAACACCCACGCTGCATTTTAATTTTGAAACGTGATGCGCTCATTTTATTCAACTTAGTATAAATATGTAATTTTCCTGTGGCTCTAAGTCACATGGCACTTACAGCTCAGGTGTTGTGCTTGTGCCTAAAATTTAATGCCCATGAGCCAAGATGTCAGCATGCAGGATGTGTTTTCTGTCTTTGAAATGAATGGGAATGCAAACGGATTGCATTATTGAATGCTTTGGATTGCTCGAACTAACAGAGCAATGTTGCGAAAGGGTTACAGTGTTTAGGAAAGTCGGTTTGTATTGCTTACTTGTAGTTGACTCTGCATGTTAAGCTGGGATAGTAGAAAGAATTTTAACATTAACAAAACTACAGTACATCCTGTACATTTAAACCAACCACTCCCAACCATTAGATCAAACAATTAGTTACTTAGAAAACATCTGAAGCATCATGTGGAGTAAAAACATTTTGTGGGCCCACCCTCATATGATGACTCTCAGTTCATTTCTCTACACACCGAGAATCTGTTGCTGTTGTGTTCTTTACATAGCATCCTAAAACAGAAAGGAAGATTTGTGACCCCAAAGTTGTTAGTTTTTTTTCTCCACCCTTAAAGGAAGTTAGACAATACACATGAAAGTTCAGGTTCTTTCAACATGTCATTACTCTATACAGGGTGTGTTTTATTTCAAATTTACAGTGTCTTGATTGTTTGACCCTCTTTTTTTTTTTTCTTCTTTTTTTTCTATTCTACACTCTTAAAAAATAAAGGTTCTCTGTTGTCATCTATGCATACAGTCAGAATGGGTGAGAATAGCTTTACTGGCTTACTATTATTTTTTTGGGAAAGAAATTATAGAAATTAATACTTTTATTTAGCAAGGATGCTTAAAATTGATCAAAAGTGATGATAAAGGCATTTATAATGTTACAAAAGATTTCTATTTCAGATAAATAGTGTTCATATCGATATCGGAATTATATCGTATCGACCGAAATTAAGAAATATATCGTGATATCAATTTTGGCCATATCGTCCAGCCCTACTCCAGATAAGGGAGTTTCCAGAAGTTATATTTACAGTAAGTGGAAGGACATCCTCCACTCCTTCACTTTCGGTTTTAAATAGATCATCCTCATCCAAGAATGCTATATCTTTCAAATTTAATTTGCACTTCCTCTTTAAACTTAACACATTGCACTTTGTGACATGCAAGAAGTACTGCTATTTTGCATCACCGAGATCAAACCTGGCGCAACACATCTGCTAGCAAACAATACGGAATAGGACAATTTCAGACCACTTTGGCGCCCTAGGCGAAATCCTTGTTGGAGATGTATGCTTTTGAATAGGATAATGATATGATTATATTTATATTTGGTTAAATTTAAAAATTTGGTCATGGTAACCTACCAAACACTTACGTTATTTTGCTGATGCCGTCATTCATTTTTTTTTAAAATATATAATTTCAGTATACATTAAATAATGGTTAAACATTATTAACATTTAAAAACATTCCAATGCTAATATTCAGCTGCTTAAATGTACTTAACAAGTGTTTTTTTTTTTTGCTAAAATGCAGTGTCATATGTTACTGTGTTTAAAGGGTCATGAAACCCCAGACTACTTTTTCTGAGATTTTAGCAGAGGTGTTTGTGTTGCACATTATAGAAGACGATGTTCCCATCGTCTTCTATAATCGCATCCCATAATTTTAACTGTAGCTTTTTTTGCGCTATTTTCATCTTCCGGGTTTAAAATCTACATCGTGTTGATGTCACAATTTGTGACGTGGCAAAGGACTATATAGGACTATAGTACTATAGTACTACTGTAGTACTATAGTAATAGGACTATAGTACATCGATGATGCATCGGTGTCTATTAAATTATTCATGAGACTGCGTGTTCTTATCCTATGAGAAGATGCTTTGCTTAATTATTCACAACAGCATGTGTTGATTTGCTATATCAGACGCTTCAGACTGCGAGACTGCATACATTAACTGAGAGAAACATTCATGGATCGAAGGAAGGAAAGCGTTTTTTTTTTTGCTTTGTAATAAGAGTTCGGCACAACCGCGATTCATTCATTAGTGAGTGTAACCGTTTTTACAGCTCGGTGACACAAGCCGTCAAAAGGCTTATATAAACGCAGCAGAATAAGCCTAAAAAGTTATCAGAGGTGCAACAGCGCGTTCATATATATGTTCTCGTTGCAGAGTGCAAATGGCTGTGCATTTATTTGTGTTTTAAACTCGATGGGAGTGAAATTAAATTGTCTGAACCGGAAGCTGTCTGTCTCCCCTCTTCCCCCTCCGCTCCGCTGCACACCACGCCCACTTTTTTTAGCATTTTTTAAAACTGTAGTGAGAACTAACCAGTGCTGAAACGGGGGGTTTCATGACCCTTTAACAACGGTATCACCGTCAGCACCGTCTATCGCGGCAAGCCTACC